GCGACATTTAAAAATATATATATTTTTCAGTCTTGAAACTTGGTCGTAACATTTGTGGTTGCTAGGTGACGCCTGCTTTCCACAGTTATACCTGATTTTCAGGTGGAGGAGGGATTTCTGCTCTCATGGGCTTCTTAGGTTTTAACCGGCGGACAATTGATTATCTAATTAACGAAGATATGTGAAGATTTGGAGGTATTCCAATAAAGTAAAAGGAGTAATTACTCACCCAGAACCCGGACTTTTATCGCTCCAGGATGAGTCTTAGCCCCAACAATGGTGAGGTCGTAATCCCCGCTGTCCTCTGATTTTAGGGTCTTCAGAGTCAGGTATCCATTGGTGGTGTTAATAGAAGCTCTGTCTTTATAGGCTTCGCCAACCGAAAACGAACCATCCGGGCGCAATGTTACTATATTAGTTGTGTCTTTCCCGTCGTTGAAATTCCATAGATACAGGTCACCGTTCTGTTTTTTATACAGAACTTTAAGCGTCACATCTTTCCCCAAAATGACATCCACGGGACCCTCAGGAAGAATGTCTTCTCCTACACAGAACCCTGTGGGTAAACAAAAACAGAGATTTCAGAATTAAGTTGTTTTAACATTCATATTGTCAATTAACTGCAGGGAAACCGTGAAAACATGGCATAATAAACATAAGTCTTAAGATAAATACCACAAAGCGTTCTTAAGATAAAAAATAATGTAGCCTCACCGGTAAAAAGGAAGAGAAAAAGAAGCGAAAAGGTCTGATGCATCCTGGACGGTTCAAGCTTTCCAGCAGAGAAACAGTAGAGAAAGTGCGGAGGTACCTGCTGCTTTTAGAGGGACACACCTAAGAAGGTGTAGGCGAAGTTGCGCCACTAGCAAAGACACGCTCCTCCTACCTTATGGGCGATACTCCTGCATTAACTCACACCCTCACTTCCAGCGAGAGTCGGATAATACGCCCTTATTCATCTGGGTTTTTTTTTATTTTTTTTTATTTTTTTTATTATTATTATTATAGCTGAATTAAAATTAAATGTATGCACCCGACTGTGGATGAGTTTCTCCAACTAACTAAAGATTTAATACATATGCTATTTTCATTTTAACTCTGGTGTTTTCTGATTTGTGAATTAATCATTTACATTTTTACTTAGTAATTATTATTAATTACAGTATAATACTACCATTTATCTAAGAAGAACAATTAGGGTAGTTTCAAACTGACTGCTTTGAAGTAATTAACACTTAAACAATCAATGTTTACAAAAATCACCGGGACACCGGCAAAATATTGTAAAAGAAAATTTAGTCATTTATGTTCGTCAGGGTGCTGCCATCTAGTGGATTCGTGAAGGAACAGCACCACATAGACTGAAAAAGTTAGTTGTTTAAATAGCTTCAAACTCAAACGATTATGTTTGAAAATCATTACCTATCTATCTATCTATCTATCTATCTATCTATCTATCTATCTATCTATCTATCTATCTATCTATCTATCTATCTATCTATCTATCTATCTATCTATCTATCTATCATACGTCACATCAAGGAATATAAGGTTGTGGATGAAAGTTGACATAAATTAAAGAAAATTAGAAATTCACACTACTAGTTGAAATCTATCTATCTATCTATCTATCTATCTATCTATCTATCTATCTATCTATCTATCTATCTATCTATCTATCTATCTATCTATCTATCTATCTATCTATCACACCAAGTAATATATGGTTGTGCGTTTGACATGAATTAAATAAAATTAGAAATTCACACTAGTAGTTAAAATAACACAAAACTGAAAAATTATAAATAAAATTGTAAATTAAATTATGATTTTGTGAAACAAATTTTATTTGATTTTGAACAAAGTCACATTTCCTGAACATTACAGAGAACACCTGATTTTGTAATTGCCTCAAAATGTTGCTCAACAACATTTTAAGTTTTTGAGTTTTTTGAATAGGGCACCGATACCAGTTTGAGAGCCATAAGTTTATTCAACTATTGTCACCCACTCCTTGTAGGCAATAAAAAGTTCTACTGGATTCACTTAGTATTAGATTTTTTCCTGCTTCACAAAGGTAGGCAGCAGTTTGACAAAGCCATGATGGCAATTATTTTACATTATTATGGTATCGGTATCGGCCGATACTGCACAGCCAGGTATCGGGTATCGGTATCGGGGCCAAAAAATGGCATCGGCGCAACACTAGTCTTTAGTTACTCTCTTGCTCTGTTCGAAAACCTAGGACGCGTCATGCTCCGTGATTGGAGGAAAGGTTACTTGGCGCCGAGCAGTGGTGAATATTGGAAGTTCAGTTTAATTTAATACAAGTCTGTGAATAGTTCCGTCTGAAATGAATGAAAATAGTTGTTTTAATGGTTATTGAGTCAGATATGTGGCAGTAATGTTTGGTTTATCTAAAAGGTTTTTATCTGTTACTGTGTGAATGGGTTTGGCTGTAATTTAAGGACAGATTCTAATATATCTGCAGGGTGGTGACTATAAATCTGATAGTAACTTTTTTTATTGCTGTTTTGCACATTATGTTTAACTAAGTGTTTTTTGTTGTTGAATATTAAAGATTTTGCAGATATATTTTTATACATAAATTGTTTAGATTTACTTATATATTTCTACTCCTTTTATAGAATAGAAAATCTCTTTATTGTCCCACAATGGGCAAATTTACACCAGCAGAAAGATTATTGAAAATGGTCACACAAATGTGGACCTTAGAACAATGTATAAGAATAACATAATAGGTGTCAGAGTCTTGGTCTGTTTGTTCCTGTTTTTCTTGGTTTGCCATTTGTTGTCCTCTGCTGCCCTCTTGTGTCCTCCCTTGCTCTGTTTTCTGTTCTGCCTTCACCTGTTTTTAATCCCCTCGTTAGCTCTCTCTTTGTCTCTGTCCCCTTTAAAAACGCTCCCTCTTCAGTTCCTGTTTGCAGGATCCTCATCTAACTTCTGTCTGTGTTCCTGAAAGCGCGTTCACGAGTCTACGGAAACCGCGGCAGACCAAACCAGATGAAAGTGCGCATTCAGCTCGGCAAAGAACTCATGCTCTTCCTCAACACTGAAGTCCTCAGACATTTTTCTTTCGTTGTTTCTTTCTTTGCACAGGTAAACAGTACATTTCTTCTTCTACGCTTGCATTATCGGCAGAATGCGCTGAATGCGCACTTTCATCTGGTTTGGTCTGCCGGCTTCCGTAGCGTCCTGAACGCGCTGGCGCGCGCTTTCAGGAAATCCTATACACTACTGTTTATGCTCTAAAAACATTCTAAATGACTTCGTTTCGAGTAAATTCTGGATGCTACCCACTCAGGACACTTGGAATACATTGGACGAGCAGTATGGAGGAATATTGACACGTTTTTGTGGACTTTTATGGACCTTTCTGTCTCAGGCACCGTAGACCTCCATTATTTGAATGTCAGCAGACAGCAAGATGTCTCCCAGATCTCCAGATGCGTTTGAGATATCAAAAATCAAAAAAGTACTCCAGAGTGTTGTTCAGCATGGGGGTGAGTAGAAAATGAAGGCTAATCATGTTTTGGGTGTACTATTCCTTTAAGTGGGGGGTACTGTCAGAGTCTTGGTCTTTTGTTCCTGTTTTTCTTGGTTTTCCATTTGTTGTCCTCTGCTGCCCTCTTGTGTCCTCCCTTGCTCTGTTTTCTGTTCTGCCTTCACCTGTGAACCTTAATAAACCAACTTTAATAGGCTCTATGCACAACTCCACCACTTCCTGAACTTCAGGAGGCTCCTTTGCTTCCTGTCTTTCATGATTGGATGCACTGATTTATCCAGGTGTGTATGACCTAAGTAACTGGCCAGACACACCTGGATTAATCAGTTCGTCCAGTAATGAAAGACAGGAAACAAAGGAGCTGCCTTAAATTCAGGAAGTAGTGGAGCTGTGTATAGAGCCCATTCACCTTTGCCAACTGGTCTCTGCATTTGGGTCCTCCAAACAAACACCATTTCATGACAATAGGGAGGAGTTAAAATATAAAAAATACAATTCTGTAATGTGTTTTAACAATATAAAACTGGAGAATAAATAACCAATATGCAGCTATGGACATTTTTACAGTAATGGATATTTGAAAATAGCAGCAACATGAGAGATGTGCAAAATGACAGCTGCGTGTTATTTAACTGGCTAAGGTTTCTATCATTACATTTGCTTTTATTTGTTCCTGCTCCCGGTGGTTGGCTCCTTTATTCCACTCTGGATTCTTGTGAGTGCAGTCTTTGTTTACTTTATAATAAAAAATATATAAATAAACAAACAGTTTTAAAAAACTTCGGTATTCATTCTTTTCCTGCTTTGTGTGTCAACTTTCATTGTTGCTAAGCAACAGAGCATACGGCGGTAAAACCCGTTCGAATTCACAGCCAAAACTCTTCCGGTCTCCTTATTTTCAAGGACTTCGAAGGATCCAGTCTAGGTAGCACGCGTCCTTGGAGGATGCAGACCAGGTTTTCGAACAGAGCCTCTGTTGCTCATTGTGCTTATCCTTTCTCCTCGGATTCCTTCTTGTCAGTTCGACTCACACCTGCTCCTTATTTAGCTCATTAGTCCATCCTTTGTTCTGTTCCCCTTAAATACTCCACCTCTGCAGTCCCTCAGTGCTGGTTTCCTGGATGTTTGCCTCAGTTACCCAATTTAATCAATCAGAACTCATCTCTGCTTCCCTCATCTCTGCATTTGGGTCCTCAAGCAACCTCATCACTTATTGTTGACAAATTCAGAGTTCCATTTTATTTATTAATATATTGTATATATAAAATCAATACAATTCATTTCCATTTTTCTATTATATATTTTTATTATTACTTTAGTCAATTTCAGTTTATTTTACTGGCAGCTATTTTTTCTGTCTTTAATTGAGGTTGACATCCTTAAAAACAGAAAACCTTCTTACACAAGTTAAAACATTTGATCGATTGGTTTTTGTTGTCCTACAGTAGTTCCAGTTGGTGTTTGAATTACGTGTATTTACTCTATAAATATTACAGCATAACCTCCCTCCTGTCTGTCGGCTTTTGAGCACACAGGCAGAAGCTACCAGATGGATCTGTTTATCTTAAAATCACTTGTTTTTCCACTCTGTTTTCTTGGTGAGGTTAAACGACTATGCATTTGATTCTTTGCGGTATGAACTGTTGTTTATTAACTGCCTGTTTTATAGTGATTTATCTCCTGTCTAACTGTTCATTTTCAGTAAATGTTTCTTTCAGCTAAAATAATAGTTGCTGATAAAAGTGGATCATGTTTTTCCTTGTTATAGTTTCACCTCTGCTTGTGTAACTTTTAGACTTACCTAAACCTATAAATATGGATAAAATACTAACACTTTAATGTCTTTTTACAGGGCACAGTGCTGGTAAAAAGGTTTTACCAGCAAGTCCTTTGGAAGCCTATTTGGGGGAAAATAAAACCCTGAATATCCTAGTTGAAAAAGAGAAAAACGACATTATAATCTGGGTTTTCAAAACTGAGAAAAAACGTATGGAAATTGCTACCTTACAGCCATCAGGTCTCACTGTGAATGACCGTTACAAAGGTAGAGCTTTTGTTGACTCAGCCAACGGATACCTGACCTTGATCTCTGTAAAACTGGAGGACACTGGAAATTATACTATCTCCATAGTGGGGACACAAACCCTAACCGGACAGGTTGAACTTCATATTATAGGTGAGAGTTTTAAAATGTTTTTTCAAACTCATTTATTTAATGTTTCTGCATTTTTGTTAAATGGCAAACTGCATTTATCATCTTAAAATGGCTTGAATTTGCAGTCAGATCTGAAATCTGTATTTTTTGCAAACTTAAACAAATGCTTGCTATATATTTTTTACAGTAAAATAAAATCTAAAACCATCTCCATAAAGTTAATGCAAATGAAGTTAAGAAGGGGAAAAAAACGTGGTTTAAAAACATAATCAATAAAATTATACAAGTATATCACATTTTAGCATGCATTTTATGTTTGAGAACCAAAATTTATCTTGAAGAATTTGGAATCTGGTCAAATTAGCTGTTGACTAATTTAGAGCCACTTAAATATATGTAAACCAATTCACAATGCAAAGCAAAGAGGAAAGTAAAACATTATCTGGTAAAAAATATTTTATTACAGGAGTTGTTTTATCAGAACACAATAACCTTTAGTTAATTGATTCTTAATGTTCTTTGATCTGGTGGTTAGAAGACACAAAGGAACTCCTTTTTAATAGCTCTTTGGTCAAAATTTGGAAATCCAAATGGGATTAACTGAGAAAGCATCACAGTGGTGGCCACTAACAGTATAACAAAACGGGAAACGCATTACTTAAAGTTATTAGTTTTATTACTGTCTAAACCCTTAGTAAAGTTGTTTGAGCTTTATATAGAGGAGAGTCCTCAGAAGAGGCAACCTGCATATCCCTACCCCAATGATTATGTTAAATTTCAGAATGGACATTGGTCCTCAATGTCCAAAATTAATATGATGGCTTATGGCACAACATTGCAAGGAAAAATAACTATACTAGAGAGTACACCTTAAATCTTCAGTATTTTTAAGCAAAACTGGGACCATCCTTCACTGGAGAGTTTCTTTAACCACTTGACATGTTTTACAGACTAGAAATATGACAAAAACAGAGCAATTCACTTGGAAATTTTGTGTTTCATCCATAGTTTCTAATCTACCTGATGAGGCTGACCCTTTTAGTCCCACATTTGAAATCAAGCTCCACCAGCTCTTTAGCAGGCTGATACGCCATGTATACCTAGTATCAGTCTAGCTGGTCAGGCTTGGTCATTATGCAAACTGGGATCTTTGCTAAAATCGATTTTCTTTCTGAATTTTTTCCAACTTAAATAAATTGATTAAAATGTTAAAAGTTGATTTTATTTTATTTGAGAACATTACTGTTGTTTTTTTAAATATATTTAAAAAGAGAAAATCATTTATTTAAACATCTACGTGTAATTTTTTTTTAAGGAAATGTCAATAGTTTCAGGTCACTAGAGGGCACTGTTGCTGTATTCAATTACAGTAAGATTTGATGGCCTTTTAAGATGCCCATTGTCTTGCAGATGTTTTACCTCCTATCCTGGAATTGCCACCCCTCACCAGTGAAGATCGTCGAAAAGAGCACATCACCCTCACGTGTCTTGCAAACCAGGGCTACCCCTCAGAGTGGGACCTGCACTGGCATATCAGCATTCATCCAACTTATATCAACAGCTCAGTCGAATGGGAGGAGGAATGGAACCCTGGGATACTGCAAGATGATAAGTTCTGCAGCTGGAGAAGCTCCTTGAAGATTGCTGTAGATGACTTACAAAAGATAAACTCTGTTACCTGTATGGCCCATCTGGGTTCACTGGCTCCAGTCAGAGTCAAACTGAAGGCAGAGCAGATTTTTAAGAACCAAACTGTCTCAGAGGGTTGATTTAATCTTTGCTATCAACCTGTGGGATTATTCATGTGGTATTTGTCTCTTTGTTACTAAGGTCATCTTCCGAATATTCAATGCATTACGTATAACTCTCACCTACTTTGAATATCAGATTGTTATAAAAGCAACAGCTTTTCAAAATAAACCTATGATTTTTATATTACTTCAAGAGGCATTGTATTAACTGTAATTTTCTGACTCAGAGGGTTTCATTGCCAATATAGTATATTGCCAAAATTCCAAACTCACTTTTTTACATCTGGCCTAAATTCCTGCATTCACGATTAATGTGTAATCGTATAATTTCCGTACCAATGCACAGCGGAAATTTGATGTCTATCTTTAGGCACTGTTATCTACATTATTTCCAAAACAGATGTTGAGGATGTACACAGATCATTAGAGGTCATCACAGGTCACTAAGAAATAATTGATTTTAACAGGCCATCTTACATCTAACAAAGTACAAAGTTAACATTTCCTATATGTATTTCTAACACTAATATAGTATAATAAGCAGAGACAGAATACTTTTCTAGACCTTATCGTTGACATGTATCTTATATTATTAGATCTGGATGTTTTTATTACTTAATTTCCTCTTCTAAAGTTAACAGACAGGATTCAAACTTCTTTTATCTCTCCTCAACTAGAACCCCCCCCCCTTCTGATTGCCTTGTCGAAAACTTGTGCATAATTGTAATGTTTAATCAGTAAAAATCGTATGATTGTCATGATCTGGCCTGTTTGCTCTCCCCTAATTAGTAATTCCTCTCACCTGCCCTCTTCCTTCCCAGCCTCTATTATAATTTATTCCTCTCACCTGTTTCCTCTGGTTTATATTCAGTTCAACCTGAGCATTCAGTGCCAGATCATTGCTTGTCTTTCTGTCAGTCTTTCTGTTCAGTTTTTATTTGGTTCATGTCCTGGATCCTAGCTGCCAGTGGAAAGAGAATTTTATTGTTTGTCTCGTCTCCTGATCATCCACTGTTCCTCCCCTGCGGAGTCCTCTGGGTTTTTGGCTCATTATGGGGGGGAGGTTCAGTTTTTATCCAAGTAAGCCTGGCTCCAGGAAGGAGACCAGTTTAAAGTCCTGCTTCAAGTTCCGGTTCCTTCGTCCAGTCTCTGCTACCCTCTTCCACTGTGCCTGCCTCTCTTCACCTGATCCTGTCTGCTCCTGTGCGTGACCACCTGGTCATGCTTCTGGTCCCAGTCTGACTCTGAACCCTCCTGGGAGCCTGTGGATGCCTGGAAGTCTGGATCCTGCCACCTGTCTCTGTTCCTGTCTGTTCTGGATCCTGCCTGTTCCTGTCTGTTCTGGATCACTCACCAGGATCAGCTTCCAGCATAACCTCTGGGACTGCAGCACTGGGGACACTCGTGGTCTGGACTGTTAAACCAGGTAAGTGACCAACCCAGATAATCATATATCAGTTTATCGTGGTCACTTACCTGTGTTTCCTCCATAGAGTGTCTGAGATTGGGCAGTGCCCCGCCCCCCCCGCTGCAGTGTCCGCGAGCCACAGCTCCACTTTTGTTTTGTTTTATTTAATAAACATTTGAACTTTCCTACTGACTGTCTCTCCTTGAATACTGGGTCCATCTGTCCCCGATTCCTGACAATGATTTACTTTCAGATTTACTTATACTTTCATTAATAATTTAAAAATTGAAACAAAATAATATTTTTTTCATTTATTTGATCACACATTCAATACATATTTATAGGATAAATGCTCTATTGGATCAAGCATGTTTGGTAAGAATTAAAACCTTTAATAGCTTTGTTGTTGTTTATGATTAAACAACGCCATATCAAAAAACATCTCTGAGTATGTGTGAATTTTCTGTTTTTGTTTTTGTTTATAATCAGTTTTTCATAGAATACTGTAGTGGGAAAAAAGTATTCAACTATTCACCCTAGTCAAATAAACAGAGATCGATGGATTTCCCTCAGTCGGCACGGTTATTTATTTCTTTGCAAAGAGAGAACAGTTCATCATACAGCCCTTATGGCACAGCATTCTGCCCTGTTCTGCATGAGCAGCGTTCGTTCCCCCTTTCTTACTACAATGGAAAGTAGTCAGAGTCAAAACAAATTACAGACAGTTTGGTTAAACAGTAACATGTTATGAATAAACCTTGAGAGAGAATCTGGCTTGTTATGGGAAGATTCTATGTCTGGTCTACAAACAACATCCTGCAAAGATGCTGTGGCCTTGAAAGTGAAACAGACTGAGTGATAACTTTCATAGTGAGTAAATAGGATAAATTAATATATGATATAAGAAATCTAAATTTTACGACAACAGTCCACCCTTTCGATTATAAAAGGATATTATCCTTGTGTAATCGATAATTAAAAAAGGAAAATTCATGAATATATGTAAAGAAAACTAAAAACAAGAAACTAAATTTGTAAATATATGTAAAGAAAAGTAAAAACTAGGAAACTAAAATTTTGAATATATGTAAAGAAAACTAAAAACTAAGAAACTAAAATTGTGAATTCAGGTAAAAAAAAACTAAAAACTAAGAAAACAAAATAAAAAAATTATGAAAAATTAATATATATCAAAAATGCACACCTGCAACAAGCCAGTGGACAATGTTATATGATTATAATGGATGGAAAAATCATGGAAAAGATTATGATAGCTAAAATATGTTGCCAATAAATATAGCCCTGGAATCACATCCTAGTTGGCAAAAACATTGAACTGTTTTCCCCATGATGGTACTTTTCATGGTAAAAGATCTTTTTGCTGAAAATTTAAATTTTTAGTTTTTATCCTTATCAGTTACCCTTTTTTGTTTCCCTGGAAAAAAGAAAAGGTAAAATCAGTCAAAAAAATAGACTCCTTTATGTCTACAAAGTATAAGTCAAATTATGAACCTGAGCTTCTATATGCAATGAACCTGATCTTAAAGCTACAGTGTGTAATTTTCAGCGACATCTAACGTCCAGACTGCAGACCGCAGCAACATGAACATCTCCCCCCCACCGCTTTTCCCCCCCAACAGTACGGCAAGCGTTACGGGACAAAATGTCTTCCACGACGTCCGCATCACCTACCTTCTCAAGTGATGAGGTTTGTTTACATAGATAATTTTACAGATAGTATTTCATTAGTCTGTGTAGGGTATAGATTTCATGTAGACTTAAGATAATAAATATACCCGTTATTTTTTCTACATCGTTGTGACGTTTTGGTGAGCTGCTTTGCATGGTGATATAAACAGACAAAGTAATTGTAGTCATTAGTTTAACAGCGAGATTGTCTTCGCTGGAAGAATATATATTCCCCGTTTACAGAGTCCAAGTCTTGTTTGTGGCACGGGGGTTACAAGGCGAGGAAGAGGGAGAGGAAGAGGGCGAGGAAGAGGGCAGAGAGGCCGGGGTGGGCGTGCAGCCAGGGCCAGGCGAGGGAGAGGTGCCAGCGGGGTGACTAGAGCAGAGGAGGAAAGGCTTGAAGATCTCCAAAGGAGCCGGAGAGAAGTAACCGAGGTATATATCCAGAAAATTATTTTACAGAAAATTACTGAATCATTACCTGTGAAACGCCAGGGACGTTGCTGAATAAGTATACTGGAGAGTAACAGCATCATCACGCAGCATGTTATTGTAATGGGCGATCTCGCAATCGCTAGTTTGTTGGCTCTGCGCTGCCGTAGCGCAAAGATGTCTGCCTCCATGGCTGCGAGACCCGCTCCTATGTAATTATAAATAACGAATTCTAAGGCAACGCAGATATTAAGGTTAAGAGGCTGAGCTCGTAGATGATGATAAATAACATAGTTATGTATAATATATTACATTTCTGACTGTATATCCCTGTAATTATTACACACTGTAGCTTTAAGAAAATGTTTCCCTGTTTGACAGTCTGATTTGATTTAAATGCTAAAAACATCCCTTTTATGTCGACTGTTCTCAGCCACGCCTTTAAAAAAGCTTGTTATCAAACCATTGTTAAAAAAGAGCAGCCTTGACAAATTAGTTATGCAGAAGTACAGGCCCAACCAAACCTCCTCTTCATTAATGAAATGGTTGCAAAAGTTGTGTTTCAGCAGTTAAATGTCTTCTTAACAAGGACCAGCTGCTGTGATGTCTTCAGTCATTTTTCGGTGCCAACCACATTACAGAGTCTGCCCAGATTAAGGTATTCAATGACGTCCATATAAATACAGAGTCTTTAAGAACAACAGTTCTGGTATTACTGGACTTCTATGCAGTATTTGACACTGTTGATCAGTTGATTTTTATTAAGCTTAAATGCAGTTACTAAGTCAGCCTTTTATTGCCTCAAGAAGATTTCCTGGATTACAGGACAAATCTCCAAGTAGGACATACAGAAAAACTCATTGCATTTTTGCAAATGTTGCTCTTTTTTTTTTACAAAGGACTTTTTAAAGAATATTTTCAGTTCAACTTCTGTCAACTTCCAGGTAAACTGATGCTTTTGGACTTTTTCTTTTGGTTGAACAAATTTCACAAAATGTTCTGCTTTTAAGATGAGTCTGTTTCTGCCATTGTTCTGCCAAATGAGTCTACCCTACAAAATCTAGTAGTAAACTTCCTATTACATTTTCGTATGTTCTTCAGCTAATTTATTTTATTTGGGGACCCAAATGAAGAGAAGAGGAGGTAGATATGATTTCTTGCAGATTTAATTTAGGTATAGATGGTAAGAGAAGCACAAATCCAGGGATAATAAACAGGCAACCAAAACGGCAGGAGAAACATACAGGAGTGAAGTAAAGAAGAGAAACTAGCAATGATGAACTGCACAGGGCGTGTATATATGGGAGACAGAACAAAGAATTGGCTAATTAGCTGATAGGGAAAAGATGTGGATAGAAGTAACTAGAAGGAAGCTAGAGCAAAGGAGAGTGGTACAAGGGGGGAACAGAGAGTAACTTAAAAAATACAACACTGCTTAAATATGCCTCTTAAATCTATCTGCAGTCTAAAATTGTAAATTTTACCTGTTTATTTAAACTTCTGTAACACCAATATAACCATTTGTTGGAATGGGAGCAGCATATTTTAAATTTCCTGCTTATCATTTTAAAATTAAATGCAGCAGCTTTAAAGATGAAACCTGTTGACAACTGTCTACCAATCAGTGATATAGCTAAAGCTGAACTCATGATCTCAGCTGACTGATATAACTGTTTTTGTTTACC